TGGACCCTTTGGAGGTGGCTCATCTAGGGTTACTAGACTTAAGGCAATGGATACTCCATCCCGTTTATCTTTGTTCTAATCACATACTCCATATGTTATATTTGTTCTACCAACTTTGCTCTATTCAATGTCCCTTTTACCATCTTATTACTTCACCTCACAAGTCACAATAATGACACCTTTTCGTACTTTTTTTTTTTTTTTTTTCATTCACAGTTATTTTATCCTATTGTATCTCACTTACATTTACAATATTTTCTTTAATTGCTTATCTATAGTAACTAAGTACGAAGTAGTATATAAGAGAACGGAGAGAGTATATCAGATAAAGAGTGACAAACTGACTAATCCTTGCCTTTTCTTGCAAGCTGTGCAAACTTGTTTCAGTCAAAGTTTGGCTTGAACTCCAACTTAGTTGGGGAGTTTAATGAGTCGAAGAAATCGAGTTGAGCAAAGTTAAACTCAACTCAAGAAACTACTTTTCTTTTTGTGTGTTTTAAGTTTTTAACTGTAAATTTAATAGTAATATAAGATGTTTGCAGTTTATTATATCTTTCCCTATTTACTTTCCACCCCATTACTTTTCTATTTTAAGCAAAACATTTACCCCCCTTATTAGCACTAGTCATATATGCCAGCAGAAATAAAAACTCCTCAATAATTAGAGTTGAAGTTTTTATATAAAATAAAACAAAATAGTTGGAATTGAAGGGAAATAAATACAAAACTATCACAGTTTATTGGTATCATGAAGGAATATTTATATGTTTCCAGATGTATGAGACAAACCTCCGGTTTGTATTCTTACCCTCGTTATGATAAGCATCAAGTCACGCTCATTTTACATATATTGAAATATGAGTTTTGTCAAATTTCTAATCATACTGTTTGAGCAATTTGCAATTGTACTCTGGTTTTTCCAACAATATAATTTGCAAGAATGTCTTTAGGTCCGTGATATGAGTAAATCATTGGTTGATTTTTACAAGCAATTACAAGGATAAACATTTACATGTTATATGTTATTGAATGTATTGGAGTAGAGTTTACCTGCGTTGTCAAAAATACTAACTAGATTAGCTACAGACCTTAAGTACCTAGAGTAATGTAGTTTTTACATCAGTCATCCTCACTACATAGTGCCCCAACACTAGCTAGGAGTATCTCAATTTAGTTCTTCAAAATCCAACACATTTACATGAACTTGTGACATATATTGAGGTTTGCTTCTTATGGCCTTGTGGTTGTTACTGGCTAATGAAAAGTCCAGCAGTGTTTTAAATAACACGGAGCATGTATGATCTTAAATGCAGATAGAAAATTAACATAAAGAGGTCGATCATATTATCATAATGTACTCCACATTTTTCTGTAACGTTAGTTGTTTCTACTTTTGGCTAGATTTGTTGACTGGTTACTAGACCTACCGTAGTCAAGGGTGTTTCGAGTCTGATCAGGCTTGTTCTCTTATTAGTTTTATTGTAGTTTGAGTGTTCATGGGGGTAACATATTATTATTTTTCCTTAATACTTGTAGGTTTTCAAAGCTTGTGTAAGAGTTTTGATTATGTGTAAAACTAGAGTATATTAAAGTGCATTATTTAGGGCTGTTAATAACTGCACTGTAACAAGAACTTAAGGGCGCAGTAACTGTATGGATATATGTTTAAAGTACAGGTAGTTATCCTTTCTTGTGATAAATTTAGCTATTGAAGCTATTGTTGACATAGTTGAGAAAGAGATTCCACGGATCTAACAACCGAAACTGATACTAAAAATCTAAGTCACCTATGAGATCAGAGGCAGCATTTTTATGGAAGGCAAGGGACAAAGGCTGGAGCAGTATATGAGTATGGAGTATATTGTTGTGTTGTGATGATTTATGGCACACATGTGAATAGGTGGGTACGTAATTTGTCCATGTGATTTGGAATGGAGACAATTATATTCTGGGAAGAAAGAAGGATAAATGAGGTTATATATTTCAAGTCTAATACTCAGTTCAACTGTAGGAACTATGTTTTGATATGCACACCATTTATTTCTTATACACCTGTTGTAAACTGTATGATCCATGATGGAAGATAGTACTAGCGAGTAGCGACCACCTCTGACCTTAGTAACCGGTCACTAAACAGCTCGTCGCTACTTGATAATCATATTAGGGCGGCTTTGTTGATTGTTGTTTGCAGTAAGTAACACATTGGATATATGGTTTTGATAATGATTATGATGAGGTTTCTGGATAATGTATGATTATTTTGGAAAAATAAAATTTCTAGTGATATCTATTTCATTCCAAAGCACATTTAGAAGGATGGCTGCTATGCCTATGAGAGGAAAGAAAATGGACTCAATACTAGTTGAGAGGGATTGGAGTCTATTTGTGGGGTACATAGAACATATGCTTGGATTGGTGAGCTTTCAATCATCTTACACTGCTTTTCTTTTGCGTTTGGTCTCCTTTATTTTATAAAATTTATTTGTGGATGAGTATTTATTTAGGAGTAATTTGTTTATTCACTGTATTTCTTCCTTTTGCCTTGTAGCATTATTGATAATAAATGGTTTATTTAATTTCTTTTGTGTACTATACATTCATATGATTGTACTTTTAGATAGCTTGGTTGATAAGAGAAAGTGTGATAACTTGTTAATTATTACTTTGTCCAATTCTGAACTTATATACATGTATGAATGTTGTGGCTCATTACAAATTACAGTACTTTGAAATATAGGAAGAAAGTATGAGTATATGTTGAAACTTTTATTTAACAAAACATGATGACAAACAATTTACTACGGAGTACATACATGTTTTATCATTTAATGAAGTCTTTGACTAGTACAGTAAGAAAAATAAAGTTACATACATCTGAACCTCATCGAAACCATGATAGGTCATGAGTATTGTATTATTATTGCTATCAATCGACGATGATGATGAGATAAATTATGTTATCTAGTCTGCAACAAAATTAGGTAAATAACAATATTTATTATGCTTAACATTAATAAGAGAAGCAGAAAATATGATTAGATCAGAAGTTGTGGCAGTGGTGGGTTAGAAAGGCACGTGTGGAGAGAAGACAAAGAGATGATGTCTAGAGAGAGAAAGAGAGAGATCTAGAGAGAGAAAGAGGTAGAAAGGGTTCAAGGGTGGGGGTGGTAGTACAAACTAGTAAACTACACACAAATACACTCACACTATCACTCACTTACTCAACTCAATCAACCAAAATTAAGACCCCCGTGAGGAATGTTTGGAGGCATTCATAAAAACATCACCAAAACTAAACATCCCATTTTGACGTTTCCTTCGCTGCTTTCTATGGCTCTTCAGTGCCAAACACTCCCCCTCTTATTCTCATCACGAGTCTTTGATTCCTTCTTTATCTTTTCTTTTTATTTTTCTGTCTCCATGCTTATTTTTATTATTATTAGTCTTCTATGTCTATAAATATTTCTTTTCTTCTTACTTTCTCTAATTTATCCTGTTTTTATGTCCTTTATTAGTTACCGTGTTTATTACTTTTTTAGTTTTTTACCAAAAACTTATCACGTATGTGATTTGTCCTTGTGCCTCATCCGTTTTTATATAGATAAATGAGTGTGATCTTATTTGGCCTGATGCATAACCAAGGTAGGGTAAGGATGAGAGTCGGATATACTGATATACATAACTTTACTCCCGTGATTATGTAGATCGTAGAGGTTGTTTTTAGTTGACCTTTAATATGATGGGATTAAGTTATTATGTAGATTACTATATATCAAATAATAGAAAGCACTGCAAAAATGTTTTACAGTATCATTTTTAACTTGGTTTACTTTAGTCAAAAGCCAAAGGATAGCGACCTTATTGATTTTACGAGATATGGTCCAAGTGGACAGTGCCATTAATAGAATTTTAAGGAGAATGAAACAAAATCTTAACAGTTAGGGCTAATTTATGGGGTTCATATTATCAATAATACTTATTTATTATAAGTAGGGTGAATTGGTGATGAGAGTTAAGGAAATGTTCATTCTATAAATCTCATGAAGTAAAAATGTTTGACCACACATGACTTTTTTTTTGCTTATTTGGAATCAAACATATCTTCATTCTTCATAATTTATACTTTGCATTACTTATTTTACAAGAAATGTAGCTAATATTTGATCATTCATGAAATTTTGTTTAGTTGTATAACAAGTAAAATAGGAATTTATGTTTTAATTTTCCGTGGATTAGCATGAGTATATTTGATCTAATATAGCACTATGTATATAATTGTGTCATGGATATTGAGAAGTATTTAATTAATTTGCATGAGGCAAATTTGCTAAAAATAGCTTGGTTATAATTCACTTGCTACTTATACAAGTAAATTTTTTTCATTTTGGGTGGAATTTAAGGAGCATATGTTTCCCTTAACCTTTAGAATTTCAAGTGGTTTTTGTTGTTACATTAACGTTAAAAAAACGCTGGTATGACGGTGGCCGGTGACAATGGCAATTGAAAATGATGTGGTCGAGTTACATTATTTGAATAACCTTTGGATTATGATTTACGGATTTAGCTAAGATCCTGATTCTTAGAAGATTAATTATGATTAAATTTTATAAAACAAGACATGTGCAAGTTGGCAATTGCTCTGATCATGGTGGTTAATTTGCTGAAATCTTGTTCTGATATTTGCAAATATTGCTCTTTTTACATTTGTTTAAAAAAAGAGAGATTATTTTAGATTAAATAACTTCAAAACTAAGCACTTGTATTGCGTATTTCAATATCCTTCTTTTTTAGTCTCTTCCTTTTATATGGAGTATATATTTCTCCCGCTCTAGGTGCTCTTTTACAATTGTAACATTTTGACTTTTGTATTTATTTACACAGTAATTTTGACCATTTTTGTTAAAACAAAGTAAAAATTATTGTATTATGTATATTCCAGTGCATAATTTAAATTAATAATGTTAGTTGTCAAAGTTATGCATTGATATATGCTGTAAAAAAAAAAGAAAAGAATTGAGGAAGTACAAGATGTTAAAGGGATGGATTTCTCATGAAAATGAATTAAATGATTAATTTTGGGTTGACAATTAATTTTTTTTTTTTTTATTTTTTTATTTTTAGTGTAGAGAAAGTCATGCATGCAATGATGTTGTATCCGATCCTATCTTAGGATTTAGACCTCTAGCTCTACCCCAAAACTAATACGTATAACCTAGCTAAGCTAGTTGGCATCCACAAAGAACATTATTTTGTATTAAGTCATGAAAATTATCTCGGTATTTTTTAAATTTTATTGTCATGACTTTGTTTTTACATTAGTGAGGGGCATTTATGTCAAATCACAGTAGCACGTATGCATTTAAAAAAATTTGATGTGATGAAACTGGGGCAGTCATTTGGGAAGCAAACAAGGGATGATCATATTGATATGAGAGCACATCCCCCTCCCTCTCCCTCCCTCCCTCTTCTTTAAAAATAAGCTTCAGAGAACAGCTTGCAGAGTGTGTGATAGGGAGTTCCGAAAGCGTAAGAGAAAGAAAGAAAAAAAAAAAAACTAGAGTCTGAGAGAGTCAATGGTTTCCAGGGAGCACAAAAGAGCTGCAGCACTGCATGAGAAGCTGCAACTACTTCGCTCCATCACTAACTCTCATGCAGTAATTCTTTCTGTCTGCTCATATATAATCATCCTTAACTAGCTAGTTTAATTCACTATATAACTACAATATATTACATATATAAGTTTTTTTTTTATTTTATTTGATGATTTCTTTCTATGTTCATATGTTTCTGCCAGGAAAGTGATACTGCTATCGTTGTTGATGCATCAAAATATATAGAAGACCTCAAACAGAAGGTGGACCGGCTAAATCAAGATATCGTAAATAATGCTCAAAGTTCAACTATCCAAGATTCACAACCCACGGTATCTATTTTGATTCATGAAAACCTTAGCTTCTGATAATACTTATCGTCTCTTTAAGTTCATTCCCCTTTTTCTTGGAAGGTTAATTTCCCTAGGTAATATTCACTGTTATTGCCAATATTTGAGGATCAATCGATGTTGTCCTACCAACTATAGTTGTCCTCTCAATAGTGATTGATCGAGTATAAACTCATCACCTATTTTTCTTTGTGGCATTGCACCGCGAATTATGTTTATTTACAGTCATTTAATTGTATATTGTTCTGCATAATTTGTGCAGGTCACAGTTGAAACCCTAGAGAAAGGATTCCTTATAAATGTGTACTCAGAAAAGAATTGCTCAGGATTGCTGGTTTCTGTGCTCCAAGCTTTTGAAGAACTGAATCTTACTGTAGTTGAAGCTAGGGCTTCCTGTACAGAAAATTTTCAATTGGAAGCAGTCAGTGTGGAAGTAAGACATGCTTTTGATCCCTCTTTTCTTTGCTTACTTGAACATGTAGTAGATCATATAACCAATACAGCAACATATTTCGTTACTCGTGAACCATGTTCGACATTTCATCCCGAAGTGTGTATAGCCTTTCATACCTCTAAAAAGTATGATGTTTGGATACTTAAAATTATAGAGCGAAAACAAAGGAAACTCCAAGAAGACAGCTAGCTAAATCCTCCGATCATTGGATTCATATTCATACTTGATCTTTGTTTTTTTGGTTGTGAGTACCATAGGCCAAAATGAGCTTTTCGTCCTGAGATATAAAGTTATGACATGTGAATATTCTTTGTTTTATTCACATGTATCATGCACCGATGCTGGGATTTTATCTTGCAGAAAATTGCAAAAAGATTTATATTTAATTTATTTATAGGATTTTAAATTTTCCCTCTTTTTTTGGAACCGATTTTAAAATCTTGAGTAAGCATAAAAGAAATGTCTCTAAATTGATCAGTTTATATTTATTTTGTAGGGTGACGCGAATGGAGGAAAAATTGTTGATGCTCAGGTGGTAAGGCGGGCGGTATTGAAGGCTATTAGGCATTGGAATACAAGTACTGATGATCAGCAAGATGAGTAAATCATCATCAGTTAGCTTATTGATCAATTGCAAGCTTATGTTTTTATTTTTTACCCTCCCTTTTTATGCCACCATGCACCGAGTTTGTAGGTTAAATATTTTGTACGGAAGCTATTAATCTATTATGCTCACAATCAAAAATCGAAGATTTCACGTGAGCTTTTCCAATCCTGCACAATTTAGCTTTAATTTGAATAATGATCCTCTCATTTGGCTCCTTTAATTGCTATTTATGGTGCAGGGTTATGATTTACGACCTAAAATTGACAAAGCTTCAAGTCGAGTCTCGATTAATTGATCCTTACTAGGATTAATTAAGTATGGTGCTTTTGGCGCTTGAGCCGGGGTCAATTTGATCAGGACACTTATAAGTGTAATGCCAATTAGTTTATTTTAGAAAATATATCAATGTTAGCCATATTTAATTTTAGGTCTTATCAATTTTGGTTCGAGTCATCAAGTTTCTAGCATGGGTCGTGAATTCGTGATAATTTGTCTAGTCTGCTCTTAGTCATTAATTAAGATTAATATTGTATAAATCCTTTGATATCTCATCCTTTTATCACAATGTAAGATGTGGGATTGCAATTTATGGATAGGGGAAAGGGGGGCAAAAGGAACTGTCAAACTAACCTATTATTGAAAGCCTTTAATAACTCAATCTCAGTTCATTGTGTTTCCATGATTGGAAAGGGTACATTCCTGGTCCATGGGTTGTGATTGTGACATTTAACTTGAAAAATATGTACCCTAGGTCCCTATTACTTCATTGAGTTATGCGTATAAAATACATTGTAAATTAATAGAAGTGGAATGATCATCAAAAACTTTCAACTTTTATGGAAGAATTTGTATCCACTAGTTATTGATTGTGTTTTAGTTCTCCAAAAAGTCTTAGGATTATATATGGTACATTGCTAATTTTCCCTTTCATGATCCAACACAAAGACCGATACCGTATTTACAATAAGGCTATGAAATACGGAATACCTTGTAACCTAAATTACTCAAAAATCAACTCAGTCTTTTCTACTTTATCAAAACATACATAACAATTAGACAAATTTTAAGACTTTAATTTTGCTACTTAAGTATTAAAGGTTCTATAGGTAGAAAAGGAAAGTTATACTATCAGTATACAAAATTTGAATAATTCACGATAACAATTAACAACCATACTGCTAGTAGTTGAGATTATTGTTCTTCATTTAGCTCTGTAATTCACTAGAAAAGTGATTTTGCATGATGTCTTATTTCTTATTCATTGTCTTTATAGAAAAGGACTAATAATAAGAACAAATTTATGTGTACATGTGAAGGGCATGAATATAGATGTTCCCTTAATTATATTATATAAATGATTAATTCGTGATGCACAAGCACGATCAATAACTTGGAGCATTAGGATCAAAATGTAGTACTAATTCCTCAAAAATTGGCACTTTATTTTATGGTGTTTAAAGGGAGATTCTTATAGCTAAGACGACAAATTATAAAATGCCATATTTTTCATGGATAATACATGCAATTCGAGCCGCGGAAAAATTATTGACTAACCAATCAACTTAATCAAAGAATTAAACGAATAAAATTTCATACAAATGAGAATTTAGTGCTTGTCAATTGTAATTTGAACAAACTTTGTTTTGATTATTTGTTGCTTTATAATGATATTTATTTGTCACTTCATAATACCAATACAATATTTAGTATTATTGCTTTTCTTTGAATTTAAGCAACTAAGCATCAAAAAGATTTTACAAAACTATATATATATCAGTAACAAGCATAGGTGTGTTTCACTTGATTATATTATGAGAATGACTTCACCTTTCCAGTAACAACATTATTAATTTAAGGATTCGTGTAAACAAAAATTCCTTACATATGAAAATGTACAATAGAACTATCAAATTATACACACAGATTTTTACTGAATTTCTCAAGGTACAAGTGTAGAACCGTTCTTATTTTGTACGTACTCGATTTCTTTTGTATAATTGGACCAAAACTTTTTGTCTATTTAGGATAGCATTTTTAACTATCTCCATGAATATCATTAAAAAAATAATTCTACGACAACACAAATGACTATTTATGATAAAATTTAATAATAATCTACTCTCTTTGTCCAAAATTAATACATACGTTCTACAGATTATGTTTGTTGGAAGAAGGTCACGTAGGTATTGTGTTAGAGTGAAATATTTAGCTATGGTCTTCTTGATATTTAAACTTATTGATTATATGGTTAAAGTTTTGAGATGGTACTCAAAAATTAGATTAATTCCCGTTTATATCATCTGTACATCATTAGGTAAGCTTCTCTGCTAAATTTAGGGCATGTTCTCTTCAGCTTAATTCAGTTCAGTTCAATTTTTAATTTCCTTCTCTCATAAACAATTCAGTTCACTTCAGTTCAGCTTCAATCAGTTCAGTTCAATTCAACTCAATTTAGTAAATCAGAACAGACTCTTAATACTAATCGATCCTCTATGAATAGTTACAAGTAGTGAGAGGCTAAACATTCAGTATGGTAGCAAGGGGGCAAATGGATTAATCTTGTCCGAATCTTGTCATAAACAGAAAAGAACAGGGATCAAAGCTCGTGAGGTTTTGATTTACTACAACTATATAAATTAACATTGTTTTTAATACTTTTATTGTTTTTACTTCACCAGTTGTATGCCACTTTCAATGTACCACATCGATAGATTTCACTTCGCCGCCTTTCTTCCCTATTTTTTATTATTTCTGTTTCATGACTAGCAAAGTGCAAGCTAGTTGATTTAAGTGTAATATATAAATATTATATTTTAAGAACTATATAAGTTTAAGCATTTACTTAGGTGATTTTATGACTGTTTCATTCGTTGAAATATAATATTTTTGGGTGTTTAGAGAGCCACAACAATAACAAGGGTGAGAATAGATCCATGAATCTCTTGAAATTAGAATGGAAGTTTTAACCACTTGATTTATCCCTTACTCTCACACTATATATTAATAACGTGATTAAACATATATATACGAAGTATTTAATTTGACTCATTGGTAGTGATGATTGCCTTACAAACGCTTTAGGAAGGCAACTTTAATCTTGATTGTTGAAAGGATAGTTAGGCTTAAATAATCTTATATTGTACTTGTACCATAACATGATGATGTACAATAAGATTTATAAAATGATATAAGTATTCCAGATAAGTATCATATTAGCTCGCTTAATTAAACCTTAGTAATCACCTTTAGACAGTTGTCTAAAGCATATTAGTTGATGCAAGTTAACAAGTAAACCATGTAAAATGTCCCTATTACACAAATGAACTACTCTATATTATATCTCTCAGCTCCCTAATTACGAAGTAATACTAATTTGGTTCCAATAAATAACCTTTGAATAAAGTAACTTCGACCACACAAAAAAACACCGTTACCAATTTGGTTTCAATAAAATTATTAGAAGCTTAATAAATTATTACAATAATACCACTACACAATGACAGTTTATCTCGAAATGATAAATATACAAGTTTGATATTACTACCATGCATCCTCTCCAATCTCCATATAATTTTGGAGAGGAAAAATTTGAGAATTTTCTTTGCATTTCTTTTAAATAATAATAATAATAATAATTTTTCTCCATTCTAATTTACATTGCATTATTTCTCCTATTTTTAATATCCATCAAAGAAGCCCTAGTAATTTGTACACTCAAATGTGGATTCTTCAAAGCAAAAGACTCAAACTTAGAGGAAAAGACTATATCCTCCATGTTTCTCACAATAAAATTCAAGGCAGTATCTTTTAACGTTAAATTGGAACAAACATCTGAAATCTCTAGAATGTCTAGGGCATTGGATGAACTAAGAGAATTCAGCATTTGTCGATCACAAAATTTCTGTAGGAAGTGTATTTCGTACTTATCAGCTGCTACTGATAGCGAGTACACGTGCTTTTCGACCTTTTCGATGGGCAAGCTCCCGGAGTAGAGGAACTTAAGGAGGGATTCTAGCTCGTCGTGGTTGAGTTCTGGTAGAGTTATGGCTTCATTTGGTGCTTCTTTACAATCATCTGAGTCTAACATGTTTTTGAAGATCTCTGATTTTGCTGCCTGTCATAATGTACCATAAACATTTGTTATCACACTTTGGCCTTTAAGAATAAGTTCGCCCCCTTTTTTTTTTTAACGTGGGACACACAATACTTACACTAGCTTACACTAGCATGCAATAATTATTGCACCCTGACAAAAGATGGTACTGGGCCGGGCCAGCCCAGCATGACCTAGCATGTAAAATGCACGGCATGACACGGACATGAAAAAAGCACGACACGGTACTGTGTGACTGTGCGTGTGGGTTGTGGCAAGCCTAGGCCGCTTTTATTTGAGAGCATCACGATAAGCCGCGGCACGATCGGGCTCGTCACGACAAAACATCCTAAAATTGATGCAATTTTGCTTAGGCACGCAAGCCCGTCACGATGGCACGTGGACCTGGGCCGTTTACGGCCCAACCTTATGAAAAATTTGGCCCGGTCCGACACAAAACTCATGGACCGAGCCTAACTAAGCTCAAAGCACGTGGACCTAGCACGAGGCACGACCCGACACAACTAAGAGCCATCTTTAATTAGCCCTGGCCTAATTGTTTCAACATTGTCTAAACTAATTGGGTAGTTAATAATTACATCCAAGGTTGTTAATTTTTAAGGATTAAATAACTTGTATGATTAAGTGGATTAAAGACACTATATGAAAAAATAAAGAACAATTTAATTAGGCAAAACTAATTGAAATGTAATTAATCAATATTGAAGAGTACGTATTAAATAAAGTGACATACCAATAATGCTCTGTGAGCAGGAATAGGAGGTCCATTGTTGCCAGGCTTTACAAGGATATCAGTATGAATTTCATCTTTGAAGGCAGCTTCAAACTCACCCAAAAAGCTTATTTTATCATTTAATTCCTCTTCCATGTCTTTCATTTCCTTCACCCATTTCAGTACATTGGCAAAACCCTGAAGCCAATTTAAAATAGCATAAATACTTGTATTTAATAATTGAACTAAATACTCCCAACAACAATAATAATTAGGATTCTAACTAGAAAGTGATGTTCAATTATTATCCATTTCACAATGATCAATATGATTCACTAATAACGCGTTACCTAATTTCACAAAAATGCTACCAGTAATATATTTTCTCAAAATACATAAACAGAATAGATCGACCAAGATATGAGCCACCTAAAATAAATCCAAGTCAATTCATATATATACATCGATATCTTATCGTCATAATCAAAGCTTCCCAAAAAAAGATTGATTAATGTATAGTAACACAATATTTCCTTGTACAAATAAAGCAATGTAGTAAAGACAATTTAGTGCACAAGACACCATATACAGATATACTCGTGTTGAATTTGAAAGATGAACAACTTTATTAAGTCGTGTAACCGTTATTACTTATATTAGATGGTGATAGTTATGGAGTATAATTAAGTACAGTAGTTAGAAACTTAGCATCAAGGCCAAAAATATTGTATAGTAGAGCGTTATATATTACCTAAAGTTGTACTTATTAAAGACAAATAAATAGGAAATTCGACCTACCATATTGCCATCGATGAACATTTACAACATCACCCGCTTTATACGCAATTATTGGGTTAAGGATGGGGAATCTTAATTTAGCAAATTCCATCATTTTATGACTAGATTATTAAATAATGGTCTAACGATTATATTATTATTATCTATGAAATTATTTTTTGAAGGTCAATATAACACTTAATATCTTCCAATGAACTCAACTGCATGGCTAGTGAAATTTCCTCCTTCCTAGAAAAATAGTAATGAAAAGCACCTCTGCATAATTATCTTTTGTTTTTCTAAACAATTAACAAATCAATTAGCTGCATGACTTGCCTCGAAGCTATACGTTAAAAAAAATACTCGGTAATAACTAATAAGGATTGTTCAAGTTGAATTTATTGCTAAAATAAATTTTCGGCCCAAGGGATCTAGCTATAATGGCTAACACAATGTTTTCTGGCCTATCGATCATCAACCACGTACTTATTTATATTATTTCATTTCAAAAATCCCCTACCTAATTATTAATTAATTATCACGTCATCAACATCAACACTTTACATATGAAAAATTCTACATCCTTAATTATTAGCCTTACAAAAATTGTGATATGATGGTCCTTTATTTAGTTTTATACGAAGTATAATATAAGTATTCTTCCTATCACAATTCACAACTAAAGCACACCTTAAATCCAATAAGAAGCAACTCAAATATATTAATATCATAAATTTAAATATTTTTAAGAGGCTTCAAAACATAATTAAAATAAAAGCATGCATAATAGTTAACATGATCATTTAAACAATAATAACATGGGACGATACTAATTACCTTACAAGATAGATTAGAAGATGAAATCACATTGGTTCCTCCTGATTTCTCACCACATTTATGATTATGATTGCTACTGATATCGCCGTCGAATTTGTTAACCAAGGAGATTAAGTTCCTTGCACCTTCATAGCAAGCTGCACAAATCGTATTCCTCGGTGGCCTTAGAATGAAAGGCATTGTTGTGCAAATTGAACAATCCATTTCTTATTATGAGATGAATTTGAGAATAAAACCTGGAAAAGAAGAGGAAGAAGAAAGAAGAATGTTTATATAGATTTATAATAAAGTTATGTATAAGTTGATGAGTAATTCTCTAAGTCAACTTCACGACAAGTATATGTACAAGCTACTTTAAGTTACGTACCCTTCATTTTTTAAATTAAAAGTTTGTTGAAGTATAATTTAATTTGTTACTTGATTATAATATGAGAGATTAATGATTGCTTTCTTTATAGGGTATGTAATTATAGATGCATGTATGAACAATGACAAAATTGGCCTTACACTATCTGTTTAAATTAAGGGTTGTTGATTAAGTAGATCAATGAATAGGTTGATAAACAATTAGATCATTTTCAACTAATTCCTTAGAAAATTGATAAGGATTATTTAAAGGTTAATTAGATGATATATAAAAATAACTTAACTTAGTGAAACTAGTATATGATGCACTCCGTATTTTTGATACAACAGTGTAATCGGCAAAAAGTCAAAATTATTTCTAATATTATTGATATTTAAAAGACACTTGTTAATGTCTAAATATTAAACCATAACCGCAACCTTATCCTTTCTATTTTTTAGATCAACACCAATAATTATGTGATTAATAATAGACATATATTCATGCATCAAATAATACGAAATTGGAATATATATACAAGGTCTTTTGGAGATGAGAATGAAAATATATGTATTTCATTTCTCTAATTATTGGTTTGGTGAAATTCAGCCAGCCTCATTGAGTCATAACAAATATTAATGGATATGATAATAGTCAATAAAAGTTTATCTATACATTTTAAAAAAAAAAAAAAATCAAGGTGATTTACAAAAGTTATGGCATAATATAAGGGTAAAATGGTCAAATAGCAAAGTAAGTTAAGAGTTGGTAGGCAAGTATTAGAAGGTGCCTAGAATAATTAATAGCTTAGAGACGAATCATGAAGAAGGTTTGGAAAAAGAAAGGGACTTTCCAACCTTACTAACAGCAGATATGAGTTAAGCTTTGCACGTCTAACGGTCTAATCATCTAATTCAAACTCACACCTTCTCCTTTTTTTTTTCCTTCCTTTTCCACTATCGACATCATCATTTTTTCTTTTTCAACTTGATTTTCATAATAATAAAATAAACGGTGTTTTTTTTTTGTGCGGCTGATCACATCATGTGGTTGGGTTTATCCATTCAGAGGTTACTCAGTCGATCAAGAGTTATTTATTTTGAGGTTACTCATTCGGTTTGCGCGTTTTTGCCGGGTTACTTATTTAGGGGTTACACAGCCGGTCAAGGGTTACTTATTATGAGGTTACTCGTTCAGGTAACACGTTTTCAGAAATCTCAACCGATCGAGTAGCCCCTGACCAAGTAAGACCTTACCGACCGATTGAGCAACCCCTAAATAAATAACCCTTGAGCGACTAAGTAATAACCCATGAATAAGCTAAGTAACCCTAGCCACACGGCGTGGTCAGCCATATATTAAAATTTGTGTAAAATAAATACGTATAATACTACTATTTGACAAATATGGTACTAGTTAGTAGTTACAACTTACAACTTCCACAAGTAAGGGTTACTTATTATGGGGTTACTCGTTCAGGTAACACGTTTTCAGTGTGAGATTAATCCTCAATCGATCGAGTAGCCCCTGACCAAGTAAGACTTTACCGACCGATTGAGCAACCCCTAAATAAATAACCCTTGAGCGACTAAGTAATAACCCATGAATAAGCTAAGTAACCCTAGCCACACGGTGTGGTCAGCCATATATTAAAATTTGTGTAAAATAAATACGTATAATACTACTATTTGACAAATATGGTACTAGTTAGTAGTTACAACTTATAACTTCCACAATATTACAAAAATGCCAAGTTAGCATTTCCTACAATCTAGGTGAAACATTGTACTCTTTCAGTCTCTCTATTCCTAAAAGTTCAATTCACTTTACATTTGCACGGTCTCCAATAAGCTTCTTTGACCATGAATATCTTCACAGCTTCACTTATGCATAGCCGTATTAGTGAAAATTATGTCCACATGAATAGTAGTGTCCTAAAAACAATTCAGCATCGCCCAAGCCGTAGTTTAATTCTATTGTATAATAACTAATTAATAACATATATCAAATTATATATCAAATTTATTTTGTTTTGACCATATAATTATAAATAGTAAATAAGTCAAATTTTCAAAAACAAAGGTAGTATATTTAAATCCTTTGCAAGCGAATGTTTTAGCAACTTTCACTATTTTTCCAATTACCACAAGGATTCAACCCACCGCTCGGTAGGAATTGGGTTGGACGGTGCAAGAGAGCTTATGGCATGTGCACAAGACATGGGGACCCAAGGACAAGACATACAAACAAATAGTTTTGTCATTTGAGGGTGTGTCGTCTTTTCCTTAAGACATGATGATTAAGGATAAATGAGATGGTTTCGGGCACTATTCATGAGTCATAAGTCCCTTTTGGAACCCATGAAAGGATCTAGATGCACAATCTCGACGGGTGAAGAAATGATGTATGGAAGCCAAATTCGAAGGCTATAATACACAAAATCGAAGAAATTTAGGAGGTGTCGGGACCCGGTGTCAGAAATTCATGGAATTCTACAAGATGCATCCCGGGGGTCCTATAATGTTATTTCGATCCATATACGATCATTATAATTAGCTATATAAAGGCCTCGTGAAAGCTTAGAGCCCACAAAAGAGGCGTGTATGAAAATGCGTAAATTGGATGTTTTAAGACAAATTGGATGGTTACACTCGCCCAATTGGTCTCCCGAAGAGTATTAGGGTCTATAGGAAGCTTCTCGGCAATTTTTGTTTCCGGGTAAAAAAAAGTAAAAAATTTGCAAAATTAAAGGCTATAATTCACTCTTTTTGGGCAATATTGGAGGTTTTTTGACCCGGTGTCGGAAAGTCTCGATATCCTAGGGGATGCATCCCGAGGACATATAATGTCATTTGGAAACATATATGATCATTATTTGTTGTCATAAATGTCCGTGGCAGGGTTGAGTTTGTGAAATCGGTGCAAGTTGTAAACGGGTAAATTGACAGATTAAAGGCATATTTGGATGGTTTTACCCACCCTAACGGAATTCCAGGGTGTATTAAGGTCCATGGGAAACATCTCGGCATATTAATTCCGGGTCCAAAAAAGTGAAAATGGTCCAAAATTGAAGTCTATAATATCCGATTTTGGGTCTATTTTTGACTTTTTTCAAAAAGTGAACTAAATGCATAAGGTGACTCCTAGACTCATATAAGGTGGTTTGAAACCATAAGACACCTATAAAGATGTCTATAAAGTAACAAGAATGAGTTTTGTTTTCATTTTGAAGTTCATGAAATATAATGATGTCATAAGTATAATGATGTGATGTGGCTTGATAATAATGATGTCATAAAAGTATAATGAAGTAATGTGATTTGACTATAATGATATAATATGAATTTAACGATATGATGTGATATTCATAGTAATGTGACGTCATAATATGATGTGACTTAACAAAATGATGTCATAAATGTACAAAAATGTCATATACATATAACGATGACATATGACCATACTAGTGATGTGATGTGACTTGACAATATAACTATGGATAATCTATTTTCATGTGTGTTAATTGATGTGATGTGATGTATTGATTGATAGACTATGGATAATCATACTACCATTTATACTTGTAATGTAAGTATCACATCTTATCTTATGCAAACACAATCAATTACCTCATCCCATCATCAATTAACACAAACTGTCCTCTAAGGTCAATTACCACTATTCCCGGTCCATCCCTCAAAAAACGCGCAATAAGGGTAATATGGAATGTACCAAAGTGTCAAAAACCCATCCCCCCACTATTCCCAACATTTCCACCATCTTATAGGTCTGTTTTAGCAACTTTTCCCTATTTTCCAATTACCACCTTTATTCTCGTATTTTTCGGGATGCCACCTTGAAGTACAATTCTTATCGAGCGATGGGTTGAATCCTTTGCAAACGATTTAAATACACGATGGGGTATTGTAAGTGGAAGAGTGATATTGCTGCCATGATCCACTGATATTCAACCCTATGTCAATTCGTTTCGTCCCTCCCCCTACCTTATTCCCTAAAATCACCTAAATTTTGGAAAATGAGGTTATCGGTGCATCTTCTATGCTTAAAAATGCTAAGTACGTGATTGAGACAAGTCATAAAGCCTAAGTGTTGGATGATGCACGGGGGCTTGTGGCATGTGCACAAGACATGTGGACTCAAGGACAAGACATACAAACAGAGTTTGTCATTTGAGGGTATGTCGTCTTTGCCTTAAGATATGATGATTAAGGATGAGTGAGATGGTTTCGGACATTATTCATGAGTCCCAAGGCCCTCTGGGAAACAATGGAAGTACCTAGATGCATAATATCGCTAGGTGAAAAAATGACGTATGAAAGCCAACTTTGAAGGCTATAATACACGAAATCGAAGAAATGTAGGAGGCATCAGGATCTGATGTCAGAAATTCACGTAATTCTACATGATGCATCTCGGGGTAATTTAATGTTATTTCAAGCCATATACGACATTAGTCGGCCACATAAAGGTCTCGTGAAAGTTTATAGCCCATACAAGAGGCGTGTATGAAAACAGGTAAATTGGATGCTTTAACGCAGATTGGATGTTCCACCCACCCAATTGGACTCCCAGAGGATATTAAAGTCCTTACGAAACTTTTCGGCAATTTTTGTTTTCGCGTAAAAACAATTGGAAAACTTACATTAACTTTTATCAAACCCATGAAATAGTAATCTTCATGTCCAAGCACAATTATTGTTTACAGGGTTGTCATTATGTGTGCTACTTGACTTGGACTTTCAAGTACAACTTTTGGGCTAAGTCCAATATAAAAATGTTAATTGGGTTTGTTGTTCTCAGATAAATGATCCATTATTTAGAAACACTAATTGGTCATTTTCATTGTTGTATCATATAGAGTAATAATTATCATTTATCCTTTACTCCGTCGTACTTAATTAACTCATTTTTCTATCGAGCTCCCAAAAAAATTTGTACTTGTAGGAAATAATATGTAGGGGCCTTTGTGAACACATTTTATGTGTAAATGTGTGTATAAGCTTCATTTATATGTCTATAAATTGATTTTAACTCACTTGATAAAAGTTAGTTTATCAGTATTAAATTAAAAACCACATTGCAACAATAAATTGCTCTATATATGCTCAACTTGCTCGAATGTATATAATAAACATACTACATGATAAAAACATCAAAAATTTATTTATTGATTTGTTTGTAAATGTACATACGAAAATAAAGTAGGAAAAACTCATAGCTAGTACATAATAGAGCATAATATAACCAAGCATAAAATTAAGCTCTTGCTTTTTAATCATACTTAATTAATTTAATTACTAATAGCAAGTACTTTTGATGGATCTGTTTGCCATAAAAAATTAGCCTTCCATGAAATAAAATTTGTATGAATAAATCATCAAAAATTATCGTCATTCTCCATTAATTAAACCGATTTTTGGGTATTAGCCTGAGCAGTGCGCTTCTCATAATAATGGTACACTGCTGCCCCTGATAACACTGCCAATGTTAAGGCTTGTGCATGCATCCTGTCAATTAATAACAAAACAAAATTACCAATTAGGTTTATGTTATTAGGAATTCTTTTTCATAACAATTTATCAATACCTTACGAGAGTTTATCTACACTAGCCCAATAATGTGTCGCTATGACAAAATTGTAACTCGTTGTTTAAAAGTTTTTATTGGTTGGTTCACTTAGCTTGTTTATTAAGATTTTATATACGGGTGTTGTTTATAAATTAGATCTTTGGTAAACTCAGTTTGTTGAGGTCATGATATTTTTATGTTTTGCTGAAAACAATTGATCAAAAATATACTTTGTTAGTAGTATTAATTTAAATCTTGTCTAGACAATATAATTTAAAGTACACATCCCATTAGAAATCATATTGTCCAATTTATTTAAAAAATCACTAAATTTATAAAAATGAGGCATACCTAGCATGAATTAGCTTGAGGCTTGGCTTGAGAGATGATGATTTCGAACGCGAATTGTAAGCAATTGATCCTCCAACTGCTGAAGCCCATAATGCTCCTGCATGACAATACATAGAGAGCATATAATTAAATCATTGCTAAAATAATTGTTACATTGAAAATGTAATTAGCTAGATACTACTCAGTACTTATATATGTACTTTAATAATTAATACTACCATTGCTCGGATTTTAGTGCCATATTACTAGCTCGAAATACATATCAACATGACAATTAATTTCGGACAAAGGGATAGTATAGATACGTAAATTAAATCAAAAGATGACATTTACAAAAAGTAAAGATTTAATACTCACCAATGCTAGTGAGTTTGTGCTCAGAAACCCAGGATTGCATGGCATCCATATTTAGAATTGTGTATGAGTCTTAATTTGCAAATGTTGAAAGATGTAATGAGTTTAGAATTGATGATGAACAAAGAAAGGAAAATGTGGGTATTTATAGATTTGATGATTTAGTAAGCAAAATAAATGTTGGATAAAGTGTGGCCCCTAGATTTGGATTATGTTTTAAGAGTATCATTTTTATTTTAATTTCTAAGAATTATTTTCATTTATTCTAGCTAGTTTTGTGGAAAACTAGAGGCTCAAGTTGCCTGGTTTTTTAATTTTAAGGCCAAAATAAGGCAAAGGACTAGGAAAAAAGTGAAGAGTATGGGTCACGTGCTGTGGGCAAGGCCGGTGGTTTTATGTTGTAGACTGATAAAAAGCTCGGATAAAGATAGTCAGATTTTTGCAGTTAGTGTCTAATTAGTGGTTATGTGCATGAATTTAGTCTTGATTCTTCTCAAAAAGTTGTTGACATAGGGATCAGTTTTTGCTTTAATAATACACTAATATTGTAGGATCCTATGAGTATTCTTTTGTTCGGGATTAATAGTTATATACTCGTATATATTTAAGGAATAGAGTAATTTTAAATAGGGTTCTTACCCTTGTTAAATTTAAGAGAACACAAAATGGGCTTAAGTTGGCCAAAGCCGATGAGGATATTTCAGACCACTTATAGGCTCAAAAGGGTTTCTATATTAAAATTGATTGTTGTAATTGCATTTTTCTACCTTGTCAGGTGATATTTTCTCTTTTTTAGATGTGTGTGACAACTCATACATTAACAATGGGGTTTTAACATTTCATGTCACATGTGAATGCCTTTAACATTTCAGAGATAACTAAAAAGGCTAGGTAATCAATTATACGCCTTAATACTTTTAGGGGTTGGATATTATGTCAAGGCAAATCCTTATGCAATTAATAGTACTAGCTTGTTTTAAAAAATCACAATCTTTTAACTCTAGTACCATGTTAAATTTAAGAGTATGAATAAATTTGGGCAATTGTTTTGATTTGATGCAAACTTGTAGCATCCAATTTCACCAATTGATTTTATTAATCATATGTTGGCTTCACTGATTGATTACTCCGTATATGGATCAACTAATGTTGGTCATAGTCGATTCTAGAATGGACCCGCACTCTTGTTTTTAGCTTTGTTAATTCTCTAAAACACTATTTTCTTTTTTCTGAAACACCATATATTTAGACTTAATTATCAAACTATTTGGTTATTAAAGTTTGAGTCAATGAAACTTTATGAAATATCTTATACTAAAAATAAAGATAAGCACGGGTTAAATCATGCTTAGAGTACACACAATTTACATATTTCATGTCATGTCATGTCTGATTGATAATTTCAATACAACAGTCGCTTAAAATATGCTTCACATTCAAATTTCCTCAATTTTAAACACGAAATGAACCGATTACTTTAAATGTCGAATACAAAAATTTGAAAATAATGTCCATACACAGGTCGATTATCAAATTATCAATCCACTTATACAACATTTGGGCCATGCCAACACTAAACTCAACTCATGTGGAACAACCTTTTTCCCAAATAATAGTGCATTGATAAGCAATTTTGGCGCATTTGGGCTTTTTAACCATCAATCCACAATCATCACCTTTACTCTTTTCTCCCTCTTTCTCATTCCAGAAAATTGTCGAACACGGAAGATTTTCCCGCCATTTCAAACTTCTTCTTCTACCCAATTCACTCTTTCTCTCTCCTCAAATTTATCAACAATTTTGCAGTAATAATCCATTACCAAATCACAGTAAACAACAGCAAGCTAATACAATTCAACAATGGAAGCTGAGCAACGAAGATCGAAGAGAAAACCCCTTTCTGATTGCACAAATACCCTTCAAAATCGAAGGAAAAATCCTTCAATTTCTTCGAAAATACCCAAATCGCAAACCCTAATTAAACCTCCTAAACCCTTTAATTCATCTGCTAATATTGTCAGTAACAAGCAGGTTAATACTAGTTCTTCTATTTGTAGTTCGCCGAAATCGAATACTAGTACTGGGTCTAATAATTCTCAGAATATTTCTTCGATTCCTCGGTCTCCTGAGCCTCCTGCAGCTGCTACTCCTCTTTCGGATGCTGGTATGTGATTATCTCTCTCTAATTTTGGTTAATTTTGATTTTGATTGAAACCCTAGTTTGAATTGTTTTTTAGGTTTTTGAGTTGTTATGTGTGCTGTTTCTTTGATTGAATCGTTTTAAGATGTAGATTTGTTTGTGTTAATGAGATGAAGCTGCTTTTCTGGGTTTTATGATTGATTTTTGAGGATTGAACTTAGTTTCTGGGTTTTATGATTGATTTTTGAGGATTGAACTTAGTTTCTGGGTTTGATGAGCTGTTTTGCTGATTTGGGTTTATATAGTTTGATTTTTCTGGGGCAATTGGATAGCATATCTTACGAAGTGAAACTGTGAAGTGTTCCTCTATTAGCTTACTCGAGAAGTGTCCGACATGTCAAGTGAATTTTGAGTGATTTTGATCTGAAATGAAGTCTCTATGTGCCTTACACATGTCTAAGTGTCGAGTATCTGACACGGATAGTTGAGGTGAAATGAGGAATTAGACTATTAGAGTAACATAACCGCTGCACTTGATTGAACTCGAAACCTGATGTATAAGGGTTTAGATGAAAGATATGGGAAGATGAGTAACGTGGGGTTCATGTTGTAAACTTGTGAATGAATATGCTACTTTCATCATCCTGAGAAATCACTGTTTCCGTTAGATGCGTTCATGGGCTGAATGCTATAGAATCGTTTTTATTGTGCTTCTTGAGGTGTTGCTTACTTGCTTCGATGAGACTGGACATGCACATTATGATGAATTTGATTGCCACTATGATAGTGGTGCTATGAGACCCGAGGTTCAATTTGCTGTTGTGAGATGCAGAGAATAGTTGTGGGTTTGTTGAAAGGCACCTGATGCTTGGATAAACGTCTGCGAGTTAAATTGTATCTTGTAACACTTGATATTGAGGGATCCACTGGGTTCAGTTTGGATACACGGAATTATATGGAATGCAGTTACTAAACAAAATTTAAATTGATCTGTTGAACAGTGGCATCTTATTGCTTTACTTCCATTGAACATGCTCCTTGCATGGAAATTGTTCTATTCGTAGATGTCATCACTTTAGTTTCTGGCTTGTTTGGCAGGCAATAAGTAATGGTTTTACTAGTAATGGTCTATATTATGTACTCCTATTTAATAGAAAGTCTCATTCCAATATCCCTGATTTTTTTCCTTACCCAATTATTTCTTTTTAGCATGTGTTTTTATTGCCACTTTAAAGATGGTATTGACTATTGAGTGAAAAGAGACATTTATGTATAAAAATCTACCATTTATCTTGGGCTCTTGGACCACCAAACAGGCCAATAATGTTATCATTTGGTTATTGACTATTTGACTTAGGTAGTTCAGTTATGCCTTATGTTGTGCTACTTCCCACCTTTATTGATTATTTTGATTGCATGGGGTACAGCTACATGAGTTTCAGTACTTTCATATCATCAGTGTAATTTCAATCCATCAAAAGGTGTAGTTATTAAGCTTGCCTTATATTTGATTTTCTTACCTGATAGTGCAACATTTACTGAGACTTTTTAATCTGATTTTGTAAGGTGGCGTAGATGGTAAGAAATCTAGGCTTTCAGCTGATCAGAGTCAAAGACATGATGCATCCAGAAAGGATAAAGGAAAGATGGTTGCAGATGATCTTGCAGTTGATCAGAGTCAAAGACATGATGCACCAAGAAAGGATAAGGGAAAGATGGTTGCAGATGTTCTTGCACTTGATCAGAGTCAAAGACATGATGCACCAAGAAAGGATAAGGGAAAGATGGTTGCAGATGCTTCTATCATCCAGTTACCCACATCTTTGACATCTAATTCCTTACAGGTATCATCATCATCAGCTCCTGCTCATTGTTCTCGCCCTGATAATCAATCTGTTCAGAATGAAAACCTACACACTCAAACAATAAAAGATAAGGGAAAGGCAATTGTAGATGTTCGCCCTGAGAATCAATCTGTTCAGAATGAAAACCTACACACACAAACAATAAATGATAAGGGAAAGGCAATTGTTGACGCTACCGTTATCGAATCACCTTCCCCATGGACATCGAAGTATTTACATTCACCATCATCATCATTCACCTCCGATGATTCTCTCTCCAAGATGTCTGCAGTTTATAGTCAGAAACTCCATGTAATAACAAGGAAGGATAAAGGCAAAATGGTCTTAGAGACTCCTACCACTGAGGCATCTGAACCATCAACTCCACATGCGCCCCATGCATCACAAGCTGCTTCTGGTAAATATTCCTGCATCAATTACTGTTTCTTATTTTAATTCTCATGAGTACATTAGCTATGTGCAGCAGTCTCTTATAAACCTTATGAAATACTTCGTTTATTTGAACATCGTAAAGATTGACTTGGACATTCTAATTTTCATATTTTATTAACATCATGTTTCATATTTGCACAATGAATTTGCCTCAAGTCTGTCATTGTGTCCTTTTATATAAATATCCATTCCATTTGCCACTAATTTTATTTAGCACTGTTTTAGAAGTTAGTTTGTAATTGAGATATGTTTCTTCGAGGAAATATAATCTTATTGTTATAGTTGGCTTTTAGAAACATTTGCCAATAATAAAAATTTGTAGTGACTAAATACGCATACGTAGTACATTTTAATTACATTTATTTTTTACAAAAATAAATTTTATCTAATTTCTATACATATTATATTTAGATGTATATATTATACCTTATGCTATATTGTAATTATTGTTTCTTGGAAATGTATTAATCTATGGGGTTTGCCTTACTGTTGCTAAGGTACTCGCGAGAGACCTCTAACGGTCTATACTCATAGAAAAGCCCGACAAGGAAAAAAGCATGCAGCTGGAAAGATCAGTGAGCCTTTAACTTGCCCTCCTGCCCAGAGGATAAAGAAGAAAGGGTAATCAAAACTCTCCCTTCATTCATACTTCTGTATCTTCCCACTCTCCACCCATCCCAAACCCCATGTTTCCTGTTTATAAATCATACAATATCAACCTGTCTCTGAGAATGGAAATCTTGTGATTAATTTCTATCATGTCAATTAACTCAGATACTTCTTAGATGAGAGGCTCCTCTTGTTGTATGTTCTGTTGGTGTCTTGGATGATATGGTGCTTTTTTCAACTTCTGAATGATATTTGGCAACTATATTGGTGGCACTAAAATGCCATGAATTCATAGTGTACAGAGTGCAAGTTTCAATGCTTTATTACTGCTATGACAGCTCCCTATTCCCTGAACAATTTTTTTTTTAAAAAAAAAAAAAAATACAGTTTGGATATTTCATGCCGATTTTTACCCTCATTCATATTTTGTGCTGCTCTTATTACTCTGTAAACTGCAGGTTGGAACTTGATTCTGATCAAGGTGATAGCAATTCTGGATCACATACAGACCCTCTTCCAGTGCATAAAAAGGTTAGTACTTGGACAAGCAGCAATTGAAAATTTCATTCGTCCACTTATGTATGATATTATGCTTTTGTTGCTCCCATATTATGATATTGTTTTCTTTGTCCGACTTGAGCATGTATTTAAAATTTCTCTTTCTGTTGTGAGCTGTCCTTGAAAGCTGATCCTCACACTTTTAAAATGAACATTTTGTTTGCCCTTGTAAACTGTCCTAGATAATCTTGTTTGCTGAATGTTGCTAACATCTTGACTCAGACTTTTCCTATTTGGGTGACAGTATTTATTTATTTATTTATTTTTGTTTTTTTTTTTTTTTTTTTTGTGGGGGGGGGGGGGGGGTGACAGGGTGATCATTGGCTTTTCATAAATGCTTGGAAAATGTGTTGCAATGATTTGAGGATCTCTTAACCAATTACTCAGAAGTCAATTCTGTTTTCATCAGTAACTGCATTTCTGTGTGAACTATTGGTAATATACTATATACCTGGGCTGAAAAGTCTTCTTCCTTTATGTATTTTCAGAAGCGGTCTCGTCAAAAGTATGATGATTCAGTGCATGTTTTGCCAAAAGAAGAGGTAGAAAGGCTTAGAGCAATGTATGCAGATATAGATGCTTATGAGTTGCCAGAAGAGGTTGCTTCAGAAAGCGAGCTAGAGTAAAAGGATGTAAGCATCATTTTGGTTTCTTAAAGGAGGCACTCCAGTTCTTGTATAGCTGCTAATGCTGATATAATACAAATTGCATGAAAAAATCATGACTTAGAGTGTAGATCAGTGTAACCTCATTAGTGTTAATATCAAAGCATGTCGATGTATACATCAAGTCATCAACCTTAGAAGAAGTAAAATGCAAGGCATACAGGCTGTAAATTGCTACTGATAACATCAGTGGGTAGCAAATATGAGAGTTAAGGTGCTCATTAACTGATGCTCCAGCACTCCCAGCCCTCTAATTTTGTTGATAGTAGAATCATGTCCCGATAGTAGTAGAGTATATGATTGTTTAGGGTGATGGTTGTGGCTGGCCGCAACCGTTACTTTTGCTGCATTATAATTAGTATAAGTTGTTTAGTTACGGAGTACAAAACAGAGTATTTTTTTCCCCTCCAAGCCTTCAAGTAACAATTATTTGCGGGCTGAGTCGTAGGCCTGCTTATTCATTCGTCCCATTTTTATTAAACCAGGTTGACCTTCTGTATTGGGCTAAGCACTAGGCCCCTGACAATTCACTTATTTTGTTGCGACCTTGGGTTTACAAATCACAATCAACAACGGAGGGATTATGTATTAATACCTTTTGCTTAAGGTGTTTTAATGTGTTCAAGGAAATGATAAGCTTTCTCAAAAAAAAAAAGGGGGAGGGGTTGTAGAGCTGTCAATTCGGCTAAACGGGTCGGATAAGAGTGGGTTGTTGGGTCGGGTCATTTCGGAATAATTCCATAACCTATGCGGGTCGGGTTATGCTTGAGTCGGGGCACGTCAGGTCATACTTCTTATCGGGTTTGGATCGGGTTAATAACAGGCCGGGTTACATTTGGGTCGGGTGAACAATATGTCGGGTTTAATTCGGATTTTCACGGGTTTAAACGGGTTAGGGTAATTCTCGGTTTCGAGTCGGGTTCGGTTTAATTCAATAATTTGCGAGTTAGAATCAGGCCGAGTCATTCTCGGGTTTGAGTCGGGTTCGATTCAAGTTAATAATTTGCGGATTATAATCAGGTCGGGTCATTTTCAAGTCGGATCATTCTCGGGTTCAAGTCGGGTTCGGTTCAAGTCAATAATTTGCGGGTTATAATCAGGTTGGGTCATTTCCAAGTCGGGTTATTCTCGAATTCAAGTTGGGTTATGTTCAAGTCAATAATTTACAAGTTACAATCAGGTCGGGTCATTTCCAAATCAGGTCATATTCGGGTTCAACTAACTATAAATAGATAATTATCATTTTTATCAAGTTAATTATTTCCTTTAACTATAATATATATGACAATATACTAGGGAACTATATTCTATAATTTAGGAAGACTTTGACCATATAACAAATATATACTATATTTAACTCTTAAATTTGAGGAAGATGCTTCTTTCTTTTGTTGGCCTGGACCGACTTGGTCTCCCTAGAAAAAATGCTTTGATCAACAATAATAAGGTGGTCTAAATTACATTTAAGGTGATTTAAAATCGGACTAGGAACAATTTGGGTTGAATTTAGGTCGGGTCAATAACAAGTGTTAATTTCGAGTCCGGTTAGTAACAAATCGAGTTGAATTTTTGGGTCGGGTTGGTAATAGGTCTGGTAAAATTCAGATCGGGCCAATAAAAAGCCGGGTTGAATTTGGGTCAGGTCAATAACAAGTCGGGTTGATTTCAGGTTGGGTTTGTAACAAGTTGGGTTAAATTCGGGTTGGGTTAGGAACGGGTCGGGTTGATTTCAGGTTAGGTTAGTAACAAGTCGGGTTAAATTCGGGTTTTGACGGGTTAAAACGGGTTTGGGTCAATTTATGTTCTAGTCGGGTTCGGTGCAAGTTAATTAAATTGGTCATTGTAAACTAGTAAATCGGTGCAACTTGTAAACCGGTAAATTGACCATTTAACAGCAAATAGGATGGTTACACACACCCAATTGGACTCCCGTAAGATTTTAAGGACCATGGTAAACATTTCGGCAATTTTTATTTCTGGGCAAAAAAAAGTCAAAAAATTCCAAAATTGAAGGCTAATATCCACGCTTTTTGAGAAGTTTTGGAGGTTTCGGAGCCCGGTGTCGAAAAGTCTTGAAATTCTATGGGATACATCTCGGAGTCATATAATGCCGTTTGAAACCATATATGATTATTATATGTTGTCATAAATGTTCGTGGTAGGCTTGAGTTAATGAAATCGATGCAAGTTATAAACCGGTAAATTGGTCGTTTAACAGCAAATTGGATGGTTCCACACACCCAATTGGACTCCCGAAATGTATTAGGGACCGTGGTAAACATTTTGGCAATTTTTATTTCAGGGCAAATTAAAAAAAAGTAAAAAAAATCCAAAATTAACGTTTTTTTGAAAAATTTTGGAGGTTTCGGAGCCCAGTGTAGAAAAGTCTTAATATTTAAGGGGATACATCTCGGGGTAATATAATGTCGTTTGGAACCATATATGATCATTATATGTTGTCATAAATGTTCGTAATATGCATGAGTTGATGAAATCCGTGCAAGTTGTAAACCTATAAATTGACCGTTTAAAGGCAAATTGGATGATTCCAGCAGCACAATTAGACTGCCGCAGGGTATTAGGGACCATGGTAAACATTTCGGCATTTATTTTCGGGCGAAAAAAAGTCAAAAAATACCAAAATTGAAGACTAATATCCGCGGTGTCATATATTGGAGGATTCAGGGCCCGGTGTCGAAAAGTCTTGAAATTCTATGTGATACTTCTCGGGGTCATATATTGTCGTTTGGATCCATTTATTATCATTATATGTTGTCATAAATGTTCGTGGTAAGCTTGATTTAATGAAGTCGGTACAAGTTGTAAACCGGTAAATTAGCCGTTTAAAGGCAAATTGGATAGTTTAACCCACTCGTTTGGACTCTACCATTTTTATTTTCGGGCGAAAAAAAGTCATAAAATTCCAAAATTGTAGGCTTATATCCACGCTTTTTGAGAAATTTTGGAGGTTTCGGGGCACAGTGTCGAAAAGCCTTGAGATTTTAGGGAATACATCTCGGGGTCATATAATGACGTTTGAAACCATATATGATCATTATATATTGTCATAAATGTTCATGGTAGGCTTGTTTAATAAAATCGATAGTTTCGAAAAGCCTTGAGATTTTAGGGAATACATCTCGGGGTCATATAATGACGTTTGAAACCATATATGATCATTATATATTGTCATAAATGTTCATGGTAGGCTTGTTTAATAAAATCGATGCAAGTTATAAACCGGTAAATAAGTCGTTTAAAGGAAAATTGGATGGTTCCATCCACTCAATTGGACTCCCGATGGGTATTAGGGACCATGGTAAACAATTCGGCAATTATTATTTCTGGGCGAAGAAAGTCTAAAAATTCCAAAAATAAAGGTTAATATCCACGTTTTTTGAGAAATTTTGGAGTTCAGGGCCCGGTATCGAAAAGCCTTGAGATTTTAGGAATACATCTCAGGGTCATATAATGACGTTTGGAACCATATAAGATCCACACTTTTTGAGGAATTTTGAGGGTTTCGTGACCCGGTGTCGAAAAGTCTTGAGATTTTGGGGAATCCATATGAGGGTCATATAATGCCGTTTGGAACCATATATGATCATTATATGTTGTCATAGATGTTCGTGGTAGGCTTGTGTTAATGAAATCGGTCCCGTAAATTGTGAAAGTCTGACTTTGTTACATAAAGTGAACCTTTAGAACCCCAATCCGAGTCTCTGTCATTCAACGAGTACCCGTACACCCGAAAGGATTCATCGACCAAAATGACTTAATTAAAATGGTTCAGCAAGTCCTGTTGTCCAACGTTAGCCCTCAAACGCTTTTACGGGGACATCGGGCTTGCTCGAAACCCCCCTCCCCACTCCCCTGAGAGGCCCAACGAGCAACATTGTACCACAAGTTGTGTCCGTCCTCGTCATCCGACGCTTGGCGCACAATGGAAGATATTAAAGAGTTGAGGAAGGAAAAAATTATCAATTGGGTCACAACTGGCTATTCCAGTTAGGATTTTCCCACCAGTAAGGAATCACCTTGTTAGAGACAAGGTAATAACCCGGGTTATTACATTTTATAGTCAGTCAGGAATTTGCAGACACATTGGAGGAAAATTGAGTTTGATCTTATAGATGGGATCACCATCTAAAGTGAAAAATTCAGGAAGATTTTGAGGAAGAGTACCTAAGCTGAAGTTCCAAACTCTGCCAGATTGTCTCCCCAGTAGCATTTGGAAGAAGAATAAGATTCCCAATATCTAAAAGCTGAGCTACTATGCACATCAACGTGCATTGATGGCAACAATGAGTGTGAAGGATGTTCATATCTCTGCTAGATAGTCTCCCCAATAACATTTGAAAGCAGAATTTCTAAAAGCTGTGTGAAAGATGTTCCAAGCTCTGCTAGATTGTCTCCCCAATAGCATTTGAAAGCAGAATAACTAAAAGCTGAGCTACTGAATTATTTGCCTGATCATTAGATATATTTGATGACCAAAAGATATTGTTCTGTTCATCTAGGGCATGAAGATTACTATCCTCGGAAACTTTGAGCACCCCAAAAGAAGTATTGCGTAGGGTCCCTCTATGAGCGTGGGGTTTCCTTAGGCGTGGGGTCCCTCTATAAGTGTGGGGTTTCCTTGGTCGTTGGCCCCGCCCCTATATAAGCGTGGTGTCCCTCGGGCATGGGGTCCTCCCTAAGGCGTGGGGCTTATTAGTTGGGCGTGGATCGGTTGGTTGGGCATGGGGTTGGTTTGTTGGCGTGGGGTTGGTCCTAGGGCGTGGGGTTGGTTCGTTTAGGGTTTCTCCTTGGGTGTAGGGTTCTTCCTTGGGCGTGGGGTTTCATCTTAGGCGTGGGGTTTCTCCTAGGGCGTGGGGTTTGAGCTTCGGCGTGGGGTTTCTCCTAGGGCGTGGGGTTTCATCTTGGGCGTGGGGTTAGTTAAACCTTGGGCGTGGAGTTTCTTCATTGTGCATGGGGTTTCTTTCTAGGGCGTGGGGTTCTTCATTGGGCGTGAGGTTGATACAGTAGGCGTGGGGTTTGAGTTTTGGGCGTAGGGTTGATACATTAGGCGGGGGGTTTCTCCTAGGGCGTGGGGTTTCATGATGGGCGTGGGGTTCTTCCTTGGGCGTGGGGTTTCTCTTAGGGCGTGGGGTTTCATGATGGGCTTGGGTTTCTTCCTTGGGCGTGGGGTTTGAGCTTCGGCGTGGGTTCTCCTAGGGCGTGGGGTTTCTTCCTTGGGCGTGGGCAAGGGGCCGTGTGGCGCATGCGTCGCCTGGTTGAAAAGCCAGTGGCGCGAAACTACCGTGTGATGGATTATGATTATGCGCCCACCGCCCGATGCCGTCCTACAGTAGGGGTTTCGACACGTGTCA